GGGAAAGGGGATCTAGAGGTGGAGGGAAGGAGTGAGGTGAGTGGGAAGAGGAGTAAAAAAGAATCAACCCATATGATGTGAGTGCACCCACGCCCAACGGGAAACGTGCTAACAAAATAAAATTTAGAAAATCTGAACCAAGAAGATGTAATAGCCCTGGAAAATCCCTCAGTGGGCAAAGACTTGAGGTAGTAATTTAAAAGTCTTCTAATTAGGTTTAATTCTTAAACAATCTGAATATGGGTGGTAATATATGACTATATTAAACATGCAGCAATTTCTCCTGCATTTTCATGTTGTTTTATCCTTCTGACAAGTAAAATATGAATATGTTGGTTGTACAAAGTGATTTAGTAAAAACAAATACTAATTCATATGAGACATCATATTTATGCATCTCTCACTAAAATATGTAAGGTATATATTTTCTTTTAAAAAAAGCATAATTATACAAAAGTAGGAGGGCACACACAGACACACAAGAGCAGATTTCTCATGGCTATCAGCTCACCTGACTTGGAGACCACAGCACCCCTTGATGTGCTCTCCACAGGCTGGCAACCAAGCATAACATATGGTGAATTCAGAATCAAAGGCTTGAGACAGGGGAGGGAGATTTAATTGGTGTAAGGGTTGGAGACCAAAGTTCTGGGCCAGTTCCAAATGGGTAAATATGATGTTAAAGGGGGAAAAAAGATAGATAGGAGATACATGGTGGAGGGGGGGGGGAGAAAGAGAGAGACAGACACAGAGAGACACTTGTTATCTCTGTTTTTAGTTGTATACTTGCAATGAGGATGAGAGATCTTCCTTTCTAATCCACATCTTCATTCTTGACTCTTGAGTGGAGATCAGAATAGCACTTAAATGTTTTATGGGCTACCTGGGCATGATTAATGCAGTAACACCAAGATAGCCTCCTTCAAATAGACTCATTACATTGAAGTCTGGAAGAAGCTGACTTTATTCATGTGTGTGTGATAGCTTGGCATACCTGTGTGACTTTTTACTTTTCAGGGGCTTCTGTGAGTCTATTTGGTACATCTATTTGGTTTGATGTCTAGTAGGAGATAAATCCTGTATAATGCCTGCAACATCAATATTGTTAAGGACGGTTTTGACAAGTAGAATCTTGTCAAATACTTGAGACATTATCACACAGATATTTATTTCAATACCCAGTAATGTTTTTTCTTTTTTATTTCAAAGAGTTTTGCAAAGGTGAGTATCACTACAAGAATCTATTTTTAATTTAGATCTCAATGGGTAATAAAGTATTTGGAGAAGATCTGAGAAGAACAACTCTTGGAATTGTGTAAGTCACAAGGCCTAAAGCAAATCCCTACATATTATTTTGACTCCAAAAAATGAATGCACAATTGACCTTTAAGAATGCACTCTTAGGGGCTGGGGATTTAGCTCAGTGGCATAAGCGCCTGCCTTGCAAGCAGGCAGTTGTGAGTTCGATCTCTGGTACCGATAAAAAAGAAAAAGACAAAAAAAAAAAGAATGCACTCTTGGGGGGTGGATAGAATATGGCAGATAGGTAACAGCAGCTACAGAGGCTCTCTGAGATAGGCAGCTTAGATTCCAGGAATGGTACGGTGTGGGGAGTCCTAAGCAGAGGGAGATACACCCTGCCGACCCAGGAACAAACTAAGCTGAGAGAAAACAATCAGAAACGCAATCCTGGTGCTACTATTGGAACAGTTAAAGTCTTGGTGCCACTGCTGGAACTTGTGGCTTGAACACCCTGCCACTGCCGCGTCTGAATCAGCACAGCGGGGATAGAGATGTGAATGCTCTGAGAGTGGGAATCAGCAAACTGAATTGAGAATAGAGCTGGCAGGGAACCCTGCATCAACCTGTGGTGAGTGAGAGGAACAGGGATCCTTCCATAGACAAGGAGGCTCCAACAGAGGACATTCTGAGACCGGGAAGACTGGCTGAAACAGGGCGCTGCAGTGACTTCAATCACATATGCCCCTCTCAAGTGGGATTGGTGGGGAGTTACTGACCTGGGTGACACCACAAACTGAGGCCCAATAGGCTAGCCCAAACCAGGTCCCTGCACCTGGCAGTGCACCCTAAGGCAGTGAAGCCTTCAGTATGTTGACCTGGAGGGGTGGGCCCAGCATAGGCTGCCCGGATCTGTACCTCCTATTACACTGCAGTGGGCAGGAACACCTAGTCAGCATGCCTCAGACAAACTGAAACCAACAAAGAAAGAAACTAGGCCTCCTATGTATGCCTATATGGAAGGAACAAAAAATATGCGAAAAGGAGGCAACAATAAAGGGTCCTCAGTCCCTAATCCTGAGAACACTGATACAGAAAAGGCAAATGTAAAGGAGAATGAGAACAAAAAACATGCAATATCAGGTGTGGCACCAATAGACATAAAGCGATATCTTTGGGACCTCATAGATGAGTTCAAAAGTGAAGTATTTAACCAAGTAAAATAAGATATAAGTAGAATAGTTAAAGAAATGCTAAGCACTTCCCAATAAAAAAAACAGATGGTAGAATGGAAGAACAGAAAAAAGGGAGAATTGTTTGATGGAGAAAATAGAGAAAATAGAAAATAGAATACATATGAATGAGAAATACATTTCTATGAGAAAACATAGCAGGAAGCAGGTTCAAAGAGATTACCAGGAAAATAAAACTCTATTGAAAGCTGGCATAACAGCTTGAAAGAAACTAAGGATAGATTATCTGAACTGGAGGACAGATTTATAATGTGGGAACATGAAAAGAAAGACTTCTTAAAAATAACAAGGAAACAAGCAGTAACAATACAAAGGCTAGAATATGACAAGAGAATCTATAACTTAAGAATAAAGAATGTGAAAGAAGAAGGAGGGGTATAAACAAAGGAGCTGCAAAGGCTATTCACAGAAATAATGAGGGAAAACGTCCCAAGCATAGGAAAAGGGAAATATGCTCAGATGTATGAGGCATACCAAACTCCAGCCACCTACAATCAAAACAGAGCTACACCCAGGCATATAATAATCAACATTCCAGAAATGCAATATAAAAATAGAATATTAAAAGCTGTCAGAGACAAGAAACAGATCACTTACAAGGGAACACCCATCAGAATTACAGCAGACTTCTCAGAACAAACCATCAAATTGAGAAGAGCATGGGGCGAAATAATCCAAGCCTTGAAAGACAATAATCTCCAGTCAAGATTGATATATCCTGCACAACTGTCCCTACAAATTAATGGAGAAACAAGGTGCTTCCAAGATAAAGAGGAACTAGGGGAATTCGCAACCACCAATCCAACTCTACAGAGAATATTGTAGGACATTCTAAAGAGTGAGAAAAGTACCAGGATTCCAAAACAATGGCAGAGAGGCCAAAATGAATAGAACAGTAAGTGAAATGAAAAAGACAGACAGACAACTAATGACAGAAAAAGAGCACAAAGAAATGAGGCAAAGAAGGTTGAATATAATTTCTAATATAGATAACCTGAATACACTAAATTAAGGGAAAAAAAGAGAATCACAAGCAGAGTGGATCAAGGGTTAGGGTCCACTGAGAGGCTTTTTATAGGAAATATAATTTCAAGAAGGTTATATAGACCAAAATCAAATATGAGAACTCGATGTGATAGGGAATCAGAGAGTAATAGGGGTAACTGGGCCAGTATTTGTGGATAGGTTGAACAGACAGGCTTTAACAAATGAAGAAATATAACTAGAAATCCAGCCCAGGAGTGAGAAAGTTCAGAAATACTTAGGTAAATAGCAGGTTGCTATTACTAAAACCATGAGTGATGGGGAGACCTGAAAATACACAGTTCATTCTGGGGGAGTAAAAGGGAGTCTTCAAAAAAAAACCCAGCAGAAGATATAGCTAATATTGTGTCAGGAATTAAAATCCTTATTACTCGCTCCACTCTGCTTGGTTAGAACTTGTTCCATCCTAGTTTGTGTACAAGCACTGGACCTGAGGGCACAGACAGCTGTCTCGACGATATCAGGACCATAGAACAGTGGTCATCTTTAATTTCCTATTAACTCAGTCAGGATCCCTGTATGACTTATACTATTGTGTTATGACTGACCTTAGTTGAATCTGACTTGTTCGAATACTGCTTATTACTGACAGATTTTATTCAAAACTGTTAGGTTGCTGGAATCAAGTTGAGGAGTATAGACAACTATACTGAAAATGACAATGATTCACCATGATATCCATTCTGATTTAATTACTACCTGTTTTTGTAGCTCTACACTATCTACAAAGTTGTATTTCTGTTAATTCTGTTATGCACTGATATATTCAATTATACTTTATCTGATGTTATAGCCAATTCAGTTGATAAAAAGAAACAGCACAGTGACCATGGTAGAACTCCTTATACATCAGTTCTATATGTATCTTTAGTTTTATGTTTCTATAGGAATATGTGTAGTTCTGTCTTGCTTTATTCTATTTCGCCCTCTAATATAGAAAGGATAGAAATACATGTTAAGACTCATGCTTGCATAAAATCTATAAAAAGTTCATGAGAACTGATCTTATGATACATGATGAAATGAAAAAATATTTTGAAGGAAAGAAAGGGGCACTGCAGTACACAGTGCTGATTCCAGAATGTTATTATGTGAAATCCAGCAATATTACTAATCTTTGTTCAGAGGATTTTAATCTAATAAATTTTGTTAGGTCTCCACATAAATGAAGATATGCATACATGTCTAAGTGTATAGGATTGATATTCATATTACTTTGTTTTTGTTGGATAGTTGAACAGAACAGTTTGCAGTCTCTCTGGTTGAATTCCCATTTATATGTTCCACTTTTGTATCTTGAACAACTATTTGTGTGATGTATACAATATGTATACATCAACTAGTGATTTATTAGTTTATCTCTTTTCTTTGAAAGTATGTACTATTTCTGCCCATTTTCTATTCTGTTTTATCTTTCTTTAAATAAAAAAAAAAGAATGCACTCTTGACCTCCTTGTTCCTCAGGCTGTAGACCACAGGGTTCAGCATGGGGATGACAATGATGTAGAGCACAGATGCAATTTTGTCCATGTCCATGAAGTGACTGGAGCTTGGCTGCAGGTACATGAAGATACTCGTCGCATAGAAAATGGAGACTGCCGTGAAATGTGACTCACAGGTTGACAGAGCCTTCTGAGCTCCTGTGCTTGAGTGCTTACTTAGGATGGTGATAAAAATGAAAGTCAGGGTAAGAAAGAAGGCAAAAAAGATATGGAAGCTCACAATGTAAACAAGAACCAGCTCACTGACCTGTTTCTCTGAGCAAGAAAGAACCATGAGTGCTGGAATATCACAGAAAAAGTGTTGGACCACGTTGCAAAAGGAGATACTGAACATGTTCTCAATGTGGAGGGCAGCATTGAGGAAGCCACAGGCATAGCAGCCTAGGACAAGGCCTGTGCACAGACTTGTGGTCATGGTGGTGGTGTAATGCAAGGGTTTGCTCATTGTGGCATAGTGGCCATAGGCCATTGAAGTCAACTGATAATTTTCCACATCAATGAATGCTACAAACAGGAACATCTGAGCAGCATAGGCATTGTAGGAAATGACTTTTCCTGCTAGGAGGATCCCAGCTATGACTGTGGGAGTGACAATAGAAGGGGAACAGAAATCCACCAGCCACAGATGACCGAGGAAAAGGTACATGGGGCTGTGCAGATGAGAGTCTAAGAAGATGAGCAGGGTCATCCCCAGGTTCCCAGCCAGAGTGACGGTGTAGATGAGGCGGAGGGTGATGAAGAGGGGAAGCTGCAGGTGCAAGTCAGAGTTCAGCCCCAGCAGGAGGAACTCTGTCACCTCTGTTCTGTTCTCCAGTGTTGTCTAACTCTTCATTCACCATAGCAATGAAAAAAAGTTAAAGAAATTAAATTAACTGGAAATGCATATAAGTTTTCTGTCATTGTGGTGATAACCTTGAATAGTGTCCAAAACTTGACTTTGTAAACCAAGTTGATTCCCATTATTTTCAGATAGAATTATATGCTGTCTAATCAGAAGAATTTTAATGGATCATGCAGATTCTTTTTAAATCTGTAAATTGTAAACTGGTATGCACACAATTTAAATACTTGACGATAACACTGCACAGGTATCTATCAGGTAGGTATCCAGGCATCTCTTTGGGATATAATAAAATCTGACTTCTATATTGCTCATCCAGAGAGAGCTGCCACCTGCTAGATAGATGTGTATACTGTCTCTCGTCAGTAGTATTGTAAGTTTGTCTCTCTGTCACATTCATGTAGTTGTGATCATGGTGGAACTTCAGGCTGTGTTGATGGGCTTCTAAGTCTAAGGTTTTTAAAGTGAGGTTTGATCCAATCAAGTTTACCTAAAGGTATAATTACTCCTTGTCTCATTCTTTCAAATTCAATATTTGAGGCTTCATAGTATACTAGCTGACCCCTTGATTATACAATAATTCCATTTTCTTTTCTATATACTTGCCTTTCATTGGAGGGAAAGCTAACAAAGAAAACTCAGCAAGTGAAATGATGAAAGGTACTTTAAAGAGTTACCAAGATCTGAATTACACTGGAAAATTTGTTCTACTGTCTTGTATTTATTGACAACACCTACACGCATGCCAACATGGGTGTAGCTGTGAGTTTAATTCTTCAATAGTCATAGCTCACTTATATGTGCAGTTAATGAGGTTAGATAATCAGAGTAGAGCATGCTTGTTGGTAGATGAATCCTAAGGGAAGGTGTAGCATCAAACACAAGGGGCGAGCGAGTTGAGGATCTCAGAAAAGGCACATCTGCCCTGACATTTACCACCTGGCAAGCGTTTGTCTCACATCAATTCCAATGAACACTATGTTTTCATTCTGCAAAATGCATACAGTAGTGAGGTCAGCTTTTGTCCATTAGTGTGAAAATTAAAAATAAATAAAACACAGCTGTTGGAGGAGTACTACATTCCTCATGGTAAGTGCTGTCTTTGTGTTAAGAGTAATGGTTTTTCTGTTAGTTTGACCCTGGGAAACATTGACATGCAGGGTTCTAGCTGCAGGTGAATTTGAATTCTTGAAGTTTCCTCCCCTGCTTGCATTTTTCCCAGATGAGGCCCTCTGGGAGCTTCGGTGCTCCTTAGTCTCAGCTCACCTTGAGTATGATCGCCCCTCCCAGCCCCATGCAGACATCGTGCTTACCAATCTGAACACACATGGTCATTTTAACATAAAGGACAACCATTTACATAGTAATGGTGTGTGAGTGTGGCGGGGAGAGAGATCCAAGTTTATCAGTAAGGAAATGAGAGAAGTTGTGTTATGTTGCATGATGATAGAAGTCTAATGAGAAAAACTGAGTTCCAAGGGCTAAAGCCACCCTAACCCTTCTAGGAATAAGAGCTTCAGATTATATGAAGTCATTTAGATCCTTTTGCATTATAAATTCTGGGATTATATCTGGTTTGGTATGGAAATAAATATATTTTGAAAAAGTTAACATCACTAATCATCTAAAGCATCATATGACTTCATTTTTATTTGTTTTTTAGGGTTAACAAGATTGTTTTATCATGAACCACAGAAATATCTATGATGCATATCCTGATATTTCTACCACATTTTCATCTCAACACTTACAGTTTTTTTAACACATGCTTAGTTTTCAATAACCTATCACAGCTATAGTTAGGCTGCTGCTTTTTCTAAATTATATTTCTGATGAAAGTGTTTATGAAATATAGAAGCTACCAATTTTCTAAAAAAGAAAGGAGAGTCAATCCAGAGCAATTATTATGAAAACCTAAGAACTTCCATGAAAGAGGAGCCCCCTCTCACTCAGGAGCGATGGAAGGATCTCGTTTCTTTAAGGTAGAAAGGAAAAACCGAGACAAGACCATTAACGTGGATTTAGTTCCAATCTACCACAGTTGCTTTCTACATCACTGGAAGATTTACCTTCTTCTTATATATAAAAAAAATCACCAGTGAGTTTCTTCTTTCATGTTTTATGGCAGTATGCCTGTAAGTAGAGGCTCTAAATATTTCCTCAGAAAGCTTATCATTTACAAGTCCATCAATATATTTTTTCTTTGAGTATTTTTCCTGACCAAGAATGCCAAGTCGTAGTAAACCACAGGTTAGAAGAACGCCTGCATGTAGTGATAGTGACTCTCATGTAGAGCTACAAGTAAAGCCCAGAAGCTCATGAAATATAACACAAGTTCCTCCTGAAAGGATGTCATCTTGGGTTCTATTGAGATCATAGAACATAGTCAAGGAAATTATAACAAAACGCACATGTGCTCTGGAGAATTCCCCCTGAGAATAATTGCACATTCTATCTCTCTTAGGAAAGAAGGGATTGAACAGCCTACAGGGATAAAATAATTATTATATTTTAAATATTAAATGTATTTTAACCAAAAAATGAAAATGTAAAACAAACATTTTATATATTGAGTAACCCTGAGATGTGTCTATGCATGTATACTCCCTATAAAGTTTTAATCAGTTTAGAAAAAGTATGCTTCTTAAAATATTTTTCATTTCTTTTCTTTAAAGTGAAGTCTTTCAAAATCCTATTGCCTTAGATAATTATCATCTACATACCCCACTTAAAAATACCACAGGAAGGACCCCAGCCTTCCTACTCCATGATTCACACTGCGCTGTACTGATTTCCATTTCCATTGACAGTGTACATATGGTCTTCCCTTTTGTCTACATCCTTGCCCACCCTCCCTAACTTTAGTGTATTTGCTAAATCCATTCTTTCTGGAGTGAGGAGATGTCTAAACATTGCTTTGCTGTCATTTCCCTGGTGGTTATTGAGGCTGAGTACTTTTCATATACCAGCTGACTTGTGTGTCTTCTTTTAACTAATGTATAGCTCTATGCTCAATATTAAGTCAGTTTCTACATGCACACAGAAGTGTATAATTTGGTACATGTAGTCACTGCTAAAGTATAGACAGAAATGGACCCTATTTCCAATTTAATGTGTTTATGAATTATCACCTAGTACTTATTTGAAGTCATATGCTGCTGAATAAGACATCAATTTTAAAGAAAAACTATGAGAAACTTTAAGATGATCTGCTTGATGTTGGGATTTCCAGTAATTCATTTTGACTGTGGGTGAGGAGCATGAGAAATGAGTGAAAATGTATCACAGTATGATTCATAAAAGCACAACATTAGCAGTGTCTCCTGAATGCTTGTCAAGGATGTTCTTGTCATACATAGTTCACTCTCACAAGCAGTGACTCAAGGACTTGACGTGTGGTGTGCTTAAAATGAAGCTCAGTTAATTTACTCATTGAACAAGCATTTACTGAGAATCTTCAATGCAACGGGGATGTATTCAGCTACTGATCATCCTAGTATTAAAAACCCGACAGATTAGTACTCTTGTGGGGTTCACATTATGGCTGGGGAAGGTAAACAGGAGACAAGGGGTTGTGAGGAGTGCCTCAGGGGTAACAACCATGAGACTGAGTTTGGGTGAGGACAGTGGGCAGGGCAAGCTGATGAAGGTGTCAGGGAGGACATCACGGCAGGGCCACACTGAGTCAGTGACAGTGGGCACAGCCACACTGGAAGCCACAGGCGCAAAGGCCCTGTGACATGGGCTTGCCATGGGCATGAACCTAATCCATAGGAAAGAGCAGTAGAAAAAGCCAGTGAGGGGAGAGTGGACTTACTTGAATGGTTCGAGGGACTTACGGAAGGTGTTACTGGGTTTTCTTTGGTTTAATTTTTAAATCATGTAAACATGTAAAGTAATAGATGACTATGTTAATAATATGGCCATTTCCAAGATTTACTGGTTCTGATCATTTTATCCTTTTGAAAACCAGAGTCTGAACATGTTGGTGACATAAAATAACATAGCTGAATGGAAACACTAATTCATATGAGAAACCAGATTTATTATCTCAGCGCAATGTACATAGGAGCTCACATTTCTCTTTTTAATACTATATATTACCTCAAACCAAGACAGAATAGCAATATAAAAGAATTTTTAGCAAAATTATACATTAGTGCTGACATAAAATCTTAAGTTATGATTATGCAATACCAGTGTTTCTGTCAGTTCTACAATGAAAGAAAATGAATGAGATAGAGGCAGACAGAGACGAGGTTTGCTGTGAGAGTTGGATCTTGTGGAGATAGTACATCCCTGAATGGGCTGACTGAAATGTTAAGAACAAAGTGTTGTTATTTATATTATGGGTTCTCATGCAAGAAAGTAAGTTGCAATATTTAACTTGTGTGGCTGATTTATTTCACGTAACATTGTGATCTCGAGGTGCATCTATTTTCCTACAAATGACTCAGGTATATCCTTCTTTATAATAAAGCAGTACCCTACTGTGTTGAAATACTCATTTTCTTTATCTATTCATCTGTTAATGGACATACTAGCTACTACCATTTATGAATTATGCTGCTATAAACATGAGCATTGTGGATCACTGTCAAGTGATGTCTTTAACTTTCCTGTTTTTTTTTTTTAAGGAATCTCTTCACTGATTTTCATCATGCTTGTACAAGGGATAATATGAAATAGGAAGATATATTTTCCAGTGGGAAAGGGACCAAGATAGAAAGAGGAACAGAGAGGGAAAAGGGGCAAAGAAAGAATTAAGATGTGTTATGTATAGTAGCAATCCTCAGAAGGAGGACATCATGGAGATGTGTTATGTACATACAGCAACTCCCTGTGAGAAATGGAATGATTGTGTACTACAAATGTGTACTAATAACAAATAATAAGACTGAGATTGGGAACGAGGGGTGTGGCTGGTTAAGCGCTAGAGACCCAAAGTACAAGGACAGGACCCTGTCATGAATTCTGACTGCTCATAGGGAGAAAAGGTGAGTGACCTACTTAAACAACATGAAGGAAGGGAAAGAGAATTTCCCCTCTCTGTTTTCTGTTGCATCCCCTACAAGGAGGACAGAGTTTTCTAAGTCTATTACTGGAAACATTACACTTTTCTGGAAACAGCTTTTAAGACACCATACATACATAGAGAAATGTTTTAAGACCACATGAATATTCCTTAATCCAGACAAATTAATACAATAAAATTGAGTACTATGAGTGGCAGTAATACGTATGTTTGGAAGAGGGACCACATATGTTTGTCTTTGCCATCATGAGATAACTGGTGCCTTTCTTCTATGTGTAGGTTCTCTGAACCTGGCTTATAGTATTTGTACTGACATCTGGCAGCAAAAGAAAAAACTTACATAATGAGGGTGAACATCAATATCCAGAAAGATTGTTTCACAAGCACACCTAAGATCTCTCAGCCATTCTCACTCAGGTATTTATTTCTAGACAAGTATTTCCTTTTTATGTGAGAAGAGTTTTCACAGGTGAGAGGATCGCTTTAAGAATTTAATTTCAACTTGAACATTAAAATGTAACTGAATTCTTAGAAAACATCTGAAAGTAATGAATCCATAAGGTGTGCATTTCACAATGCTAAAACTTAAAACGTACACATTTTTTCCAAAAAGTGAATGCATAAATGACCTTTAAGAATGCATTCCTAACATCCTTGTTCCTCAGGCTGTAGACCATGGGGTTCAGCATGGGGATGACAATGGTGTAGAATACAGAGGCGATTTTGTCCGTGTCCATGGAGTGACTGGAGCTGGGCTGCAGGTACATGAAGATGGCAGTGCCGTAGAAGATGGAGACAGCAGTGAGGTGGGAGGCACAGGTGGACAGAGCCTTCTGATGTCCTGCACCTGAGCGCATCTTCAGGATAGTGACAAAAATAAAGAAGTAAGATATCCAGATAATTAGGAGGGCAAAGCAAACAGGGACACTGACAGAATAAAAAAGAACCTGTTCATTAAGATGTTTATCTGAACAAGAAAGAGCCATGACTGCTGGAATATCACAGAAAAAATGGTGGACTACATTGGAATTACAAAAGAAGAGACTGAAGGTTTCCCCAGTGTGAAGGCAAGCATTCACTAAACCTCCAACATCGCAGCCTAGGACGAGACCTACACACACACTGGTCCTCATGGTGGTAGTATAGTGCAGGGGTTTGCACACTGCGACATAGCGGTCATAGGCCATTAAAGTCAAGAGGTAGTTTTCCACACCAATGAGGGCTGCAAACAGAAACATCTGAACAGCACAGGCATTGTAGGAAATGACCTTGTTTCCTGTGAGGAACCCAGCCATGACTATGGGAGTGACAGCGGAAGAGGAACAGAAATCCACCAAGGACAGGTTGCCAAGGAAAAAGTACATGGGGCTGTGCAGACGGGAGTCCAGGAGGATGAGCAGGATCATCCCCAGGTTCCCAGCCACAGTGATGGTGTAGATGAGGAGGAAGGTGATGAAGAGGGGAAGCTGCAGGTGCGGGTCATCAGTCAGTCCCAGCAGCAGAAACTCTGTCACTCTTGTACTGTTTTCCATCACTGTTATCTCTAGATTCACTACAGCAATAAGAAAGAATAATAGAAAAATAGAGAAATTGAGTTAAAACTGGAAAACAGAAGTATGGTAAGTTTTCTGTCATTGTGATGATAACATTTACTTGAATAGTTTTCACAACTCCTTGTCCTTGTAAACCAAATTGATTCCCATTATTTTCGGGTAGAATTACTTGCTGTCTGATCAGAAGAATTTTAATAGATCAGGCATATCTTCTGTAAATCTATAAATTTATGAACAGGGATGTACACAATTTAAATATTTGATAACACTGCAGAGGTATCTATTAGGTAGTAGGTATCTGGGCACCTTTTTGGGATGTAATAAAAACTGACTTTCACATTGCTCACCTGGGGAAGAGCTGCCACTCACTAGATATATGTGTATACTGTCTCATCAGCAGTATTGTGAGTGTGCCTGTCTGTCACATTCATGTAGCTGTGGGACACTGGAGGATAGTTGATGCAATTCTGTTTTGCAAGTGGCACATGGCAAGCTCCTCTCTGTACCCAGGTTAAACTTCATCCTATGTCATTTGGCTCTTAAGGCAAAGGTTCATAAGTGAGGTCTGATCAAATAGATTTAATTGAAGGAATGATCACTCCTGGCCTGTTCCTTTTGAATTCAGTGTTTGAGGCTTCATAGTGAATGAAGTGCCTGGTTGGTTATATAATGATCTCATCTTCCTAGGTGTACATTTGCCGCCCACCAGAGGGAAGATTAAGGAAGGGAAATTAATGAAAATGACCACTTTGTGAATGACAAAAGGCACCTGAAGCATCAAAAAGCTCCGGATTAGGCTGGAAAAGTTTCCCCTCTGTCTCACACTTATCAACAGTCTCCATCCGTGTCAGCAACTATGTATGAGATAATGGAAGGGGCAGCATGCTTATGGGCAGATGAATTTGAGGATGGCATGGAACTGAGAGCTCATAGTCATGGAAGGGCACCAATCAGGCCTGACACTCAGTAGTGATTGTCTGTCCTGCATCAACGCCAGTGAACATTATAAAAAATGAATAGAGCAGTGAGATCAACTTTTAAACATTAGTGTGAAAACTATAAAGGACCATCCATAAAACAAAGAAGTTGAATGTGAAGCACACCTTGACAAGGGCTGGTGATAGTCTTGTTTTTTAGGAGGAACAGCCTTCATACTGGTTTGATCCAGGTCAGTGCTGGCATGCAGGTTTCCAGCTGCAGATCAATCTGAATTCTGGAAGTTTCTCTCTGCTGCTTTGCTGTCTCCCACAGTAGGACCTTAGGAGGTTCTACAGGTTTTATGCTCTCCAGATTTTCTCAGGTTTCCTTCACTCCAAGTACATGATTGCTGCTCCTACAATTTCATGGGGCACTTTGGTTTTCAGCATTGCTTTCTTGGAATCTGTATTTAGTCATGAAAATGACCTCATCTTCTTTAAACTCAGTTTTTCACTCACTATTATAATTTTGCAGTAAAATAACAGAGATACAAAGTTGAAACTTTTTGCTCCCTGGGCTGCCTTTATCTCACATATATGATGTGATAGCAAATTGCAGACTTGAAATATTTTATGGTACTTTGTTTGAGTATTGTATGTACCAGTGTTTAAGATTTCTTTTTTAAACTGCAGCCTTTGTGATTGCATATATCCATATATAACTGTGGTCTTCTACTACTTCTTTTCCCTAAAACTTTAGCAACTTTATTTAGAGAATGAAATATGTGAAGGTATCATATGCACCAATACGAACACACTTTTTTGTTAGTCTAAAATTATTATTAAAATATTTAGTACATGCTTTCAGTGCATGCAATTTGTATTCATCTTGGGGAATTGGCACGTGAAGTACGCAATACAGCTTGGTTCTCTCTTTTTTAATATCCATCTTCTTTCTTCCCACCTCTTTCCCTCCTACTGTAAATTACATTTTTCCATTTTCATAATAACTTCAATGAATACAAACATTGTATGGCATAAGCGAGAGATAAGATTAGTAATGCCAACACGTAATTATTTTTAACATACCTTCTACAAGTAAGGCTAAGCAATTTACATGGTAATGGCATGTGTGTATGAAATGTTCATAATTTATCCATTAAGAAACTAAAGAATCGAGAAGTTGTATTATGCTGCAAGTGTACAGAAATCTTATTGGAAAATCCGAAGGTCCAAGAATGAAAACTTTTTTCCAGGAATAAGAAGTTGAGATGCTATTAGACATTTAGATCGTTTAGCATTTTAGAGAAGAATAAGGCTACTATTCTGATATTACATTTGTGTTTGAAAATATATATGAAAAGATAATGCCACTAATCATTCAAAACATCATCTTCATTTTGGGGAGGCTGAGAAGTATATTTTGTCAAGAATCACAGAAAACCTGTGGCAAATATCATAATATTTATACCACAGTCTCTCTTCTCTAAATGTTTTTCAAAACATCTCTAATTTTAAACAACTCATAATGACTATAGATAGGACCCTGCCTTTGCATAATTACATTTCTAAAAAAAAAAGTTAATGAAATCTAGTCCTTAGTCTTACCTCCAGTTTGCTCAAAGAGAAAGAAGAGTCAATCCAGGAAAGCAATTATGATATCATACAAACTTCCATCAAGACTTGCCCCGTCTCTCTAAGACAATGGTTAGAACATTCCCCTTTCCTGAAGGCAGGGAGGGAAAAATAGAGGCATAAATGTGGATCAAGTTCCAGGCCACCATGGAAGCCTTTTGTGCCACTGCAAGAATCACTTCCTTCTCCCTTACATAGAAAATAAATATGATGAGATTCCTTCTCTCCCATAATTCACAGAAATGTATCTCAATAATCAATATCTGTAGGATATTTTTTTAAACAAGGGACTTATTATTTAAAAGTCCACCAATGTCAATTTTATTGTCGAGTGTTCTCCCTGACCTAGAATAGTACCTCAGAGCAAACCCTCAGGTCAAAAGAAGGCCTGCTTGTGTGACATCTTTCTTCCAGATGGACAAAGGATGACTGATGGCTCCTGTAATATAAGGTGCCCCTTCTGTGAGGATGTCATCTTGCCTTCTGTTGGGATCCCAGACACTTATGCAACAAAGTCTGGAGAAAATTACAAAAGCTTTATGCTCTCTGGGGAACTCCTCTGAGAATAGCTACAGATTCTCATCTCACTCTCTTGGGGAAGAAATAATTAAACCACCTAATGGGACTGAAATAGTTATTGTCTTTGAAAAGTCAAATGTATTTTAACTGACAGATGAAAATGTAAAATAAACATTTTGCATATGAATGGGTAACCCTGAGTTGTGCCTATGCAGATATACTCCTTATAAAGTTTAAATCAGTTTAGAAAACTCTACTTCTTAAAATATGTTTCTTTTCTTTACAGTGAAGTCTTTCAGAATCCTCCAGCTCCTTAGGTCTGTATGAAAATCCTCTTCATTGACTATGTTTTTCTGGCTTCTTCCACGTGATGCACAGATTGAAATGTCTGTGGCAATTTCTGTCAAATGAGAACTGCATCCTCATTCTCCTTGTTCACCAGATCTGTTACTTTGTGACTTCTGTCTTGTCATGTAGTAAAAATGACCAAGCCTATGCTAAGTATAGATGAAGGAAAATTAAACTTCCTGAGGGGAAAAAAAGTATAATTCAGGTGCTTTCCCCAGTGAATCTACCCAAAGCAATGCTCCGTAGTTCTTAAGATTGGAGCTTAGAGGAAACCAGCACGGGTTTTCATCACACTCCTATCATGACTGCTGGACAAACTTCTGCACACTCAGAGGTCACATCAACTCACATTGATTCTTTCTTGGGTTGTACTAATCCCAGGAAGCTGACACCCCTGGTCTGTCAGGGCCAAGTGGTCCCCTCCTCCTCTCCGGAGGACTCCCTTTTCTGCCTCTCCTATCCATCCACCGGAGGCTGCCAGCTTCCGCAGCTGTGTCTCATCCCTCAGGCTCTGCCCAGTCCTCAGCCAGCTTCCTGTGCCCTATGGCTAAACCTTCCTGATTGTCACAGGGACACACAGAGTTTCTATGCGGGCATATGCAGTAGCCCCGAGGGGGGCTGTCGTCCCTCAAATCTTGCAGATTTTGACATCTGCATGGGGCCTTGGAGGGGGTGCTGTGTAATACTGAAGTGTTTCAAAAGGAAGACTTTGGTCACTTGAGGGTCATCTTGCACTCACCACAGGGACACATGGGAGCATTCTGTCTTTGAAAATTCTGTGAATCAAAAATATTCTAAATCCAGTACCTACTGATAAAATTATTAGAAACAATTCTAAGTGAACGGTCACGATAGGCACAAAAGTGAGTGAAAAGAAGCTGTGCAAGGACATACATAGCAGTGCTTAGGTTTTGTAGACCCTGAGTTCTCAGAAGATCAAAGTGCAACATAGAAAGACTGCACTTTCAATAACACTTGAATGTAACATTTTCTACTGACAAATAGAAATAGAATTGTTTTTTACATAGACCTTTAAAATCATTTCAATCAAGCGTATACTTTATGTGTTTGTAGAAATAGCTCAAAAGAAACCAAGTGTGGAGTCATTAGTTTATTTTATATCTAATGTATCTTTACAAATCACAAATAGTAGACACATGATGTCATCTTCCACTGAATGAGTTAGCCATTGTAAGTAATGATAAAGAGCGCCAAAACGATCTGTATGATGATAGATTTTGAGGCAATCATTTTGTCTCTAAAGAAGGACTGTGAGAATGGAGGAAAAATGTCTCAATAAATCACAAAATGAACAATGTCTCTTCAAATGTGCTGAAGCGGCTGTGATTCACTGTCACCAACAATGAATAAAGGGCTCAATAGATTGGTACAAATCATATCAATGCACAAGTATATTTTCATATATTTAAATGTTGCTGAGTAATCTGCAGTGCAATAGATCTGTTCTCAGCTATGGGTGACAGTGTTATGAAGGATCTGATAAAGTCACTGCTGTCCTGGAGTTCACATTCTCTTTGGGGGAAGATAAATAAGCTACACGTG